AGTAAGTGCTCAGCCCCCACTTAGTGGAGGAGGCATTGGGCAATAGGCGTTCTAACTAAAGCTTCCTGCACATTAGAAGCAGAACCCGGTTTTCCATGTTTCCCAACTGTCGCCCTTCAAGGGTGCAATTCCCATGGAACTGGAACCAATCATCAATGATGGGGAAGAAGCTGAGGTGGAGGCCATCCTGGCATCTCGGAAGTCACAACGTTCTGTCAAATATCTTGTGGCTTGGAAAGGGTATCTGGCCTACAAAAATAGTTGTGTCAAGGCGCGTTATTACGCGAATTGCATGGACCTGGTTGAAGCTTTCCATATATCCCACCCCGAGGCTCCCTGCCCCCCCAGAAAATTGCAACGATTATGGCTATCAAGTTACCCAAAGCACACAAGAATGTGGCTCTGGTGCAGTTTCCCAGTGGGGTGCCCTTCCTTTGGAAAAAGTAAAGGGTAATGTAAGTCCCAGGGAACGTCCCTTGGCCCTTGATTGGGCCATCTTCCTGTTCCCAAAATAAAAAGACACTGAAGAGGATGGCAGTACCCTCATTACTCAGGACAATCTCACTCACATAGTAGATGAGCAATGGGTAACAGCTCTCCCACTTCAGATCCCACCCCCGGTACCCACACTCACCTTGGCAGAACTGTTGCAGGGAATTAGTGAAATCTGCACCAAGATTGTCAAATTGAAATTGGTCAGATCTAATTTGAGTGGCAATCTGGCCGATGGCTGAATCTCAAATGGCTGGAAAGGTATGAAGACTGAGGTATCAGCTGGAATGCCCAACAGCTCCAATTCGATCAATAAGTTGATAGAAAAACATCTGGTGCCATTGATGAGGGTTTGAAGCCCTCTGTTGGCAATTTGGGCATTGCAGCCAATGTGCTGCCTTTGACCAAATGGACAGTTCAGTGATTGAGCGCGGGTGGGTTAGGCATCCTGAACCTGTTCCCAACCAAATGGACCCACCCCTATGTGGGGTGGCCTTGGGGGATTCCCATCGCTTGTTGGGCCAAATGCCATTGTGCCAACTTTCAGAAATGTAGCTGAGCCTGGTTTGGATGTTTGAGGCTAAACTGACAGAGACTCGGCCCACTGCCAAATTTTGTGATGTCAGTTCTCAAGGAACAAACCCGCCCATTCCCGAACAATTTGCCATTTAGGTCAAAATTGTGGGACCCAATCCCATCTTGTCACTACCCCATTTGACCATTATATAATCAGTTGCATAGCACTGAGAAAAAAGTTGGTCGATTTTCTTACTTTTACTTCAATAGAAATATACCAAAAAACTTAAAAAAAATTATTTTTTTTCTGACTGCATCCCTGATGTCATTTCCCTGGTGGCCCATTGGTCCATACACCGGATGGGCTCTATCAGTGCACTTGGTCACTATGGCCCCTTCCATCTAAATTGGGTTCAGCAAGTCCAATATTTTTGGCTTTCCAACCCCATGATCACTAACTTCTGGCAGCAATACATGGGTATCTTGTGGCCGTATGTCCACCAATTGCAAGAGAGAATTCGTTTCCTTGCCATTCCAGTTGAGATGGCACCATATGATGAGGATCTTATCAATACTATCTCAGTGATTCCACCCTGCAGCAAGACCCCTGGGTCAGGAGTGGGTTCAGTGTGGTTCATCATTGGGATCATTCTCACCATGTTGCTGCACCAACACTTCGTCAATTCCCACTGCCCAGCTCCATACCAAGTCATCCAGTTGGCAATGCCTCTGGCATTCTGGCTTGCTTTTTAGGTGTTTATGCATCCTAACTGGCAGGCTGGTCTAAACTTCTTCTGCCATTTCCATGACAGCAATGGTTACAGATGGGCGGTGCACATTCCGGTGTGATGTGGTAAGGTTTTGACACTCCCCCATTGGGAGGTGAAATACCACAGTGCATGGGATTTTGGTTAGATCTGTGGCCACATTGGGGACTGGGTTGATCACAGCAATTGCCTTTCCTGTGAACAGGTTTGGCATCAGGTGGAATTGCTGCAATTCTAGTTGCTTTATTTCTCTGTAGCTCTGAAGGCTGATTCAGAGTTCCTCCTCTATTAGTTTGTGGGGGAGGTTGGTGGGGAGCAAGTCAAATGAGATGAACAAAGTATTTGCTTTGTTATATCTGGTGCACGTGGTGTTTACAATTTGTTTGCCCTTGGGGAAGGCAATTTGACACAGAATTTTGCTCCAGTGTCTGCATCTTCTTCAGTTTTGAAACCCATATTGATCCAGCTGCGGTGGATGGTGTGGGTGGTAATGTATACCGCATGGGGAAAGAGGGAGGCCTGTGCCTCACCTACCTTCTCCTTCAGAGTTGGGGACTCTACCCCTAAGAAAAGATTGAGCCCATGTTACACTTTCAATAGGGGCTGTGCGTACTGTATTTCCATATATCAGTTCAGTTTTGAGGTAAATTCCACAAATCCGGGTGTTGTTTGGGTTTGGGGCTTTTTGGTGGAATTGGCTCCCAATCCCCTCCAGGGTGTTTTTTGCCCTTGGGTGCACCATTTTGGCCTTTGCCCAATATGACTTTCGCCCAGTTTAGTTAGGTTTTGTTGAATTTGCTCATCTCACCTGTGTGATTATCAAAAATTTCTGTTGAAATTGAATTGTAGTAACTGATGTTATTGTTATGGGAAAGAATAGCAGAAAAGAATCCATTTGTTTTTTTAAATATGTTTGTTTACAGTTTTTTAATTTTATGAATACTTAAACATATATATTAGTGATGAGTTTAATTAACAATGAAAGCAATTTTGTAAAATATACCAGGTTTATTATGACATCTCTACTTTACTTATCAGATTAAGATCATCACCATAAATCAGTCTAAAGTAATACAAGTTTTAAAAGACCATGTTTATAAAGGTCAAAATGAGGTGATTGCTACAAACTATTTTGAGACAGGTTTACTTTTAGAACTTTTAGAAAATGGAGTACTTTAATCCATTTACTATAGCATACATCATATAGCTTGTTTTTATATGCTTTTTGTATGCATGATTTCATTAAAGTCATTATAAAAATTGACAGCCCTAAAGTCCGATGAGTCTAGTTTATCCCGTTATGATCAAACACATTTTGAAAAAAGCAAGTTTTAAACCGGAATTATTTTAGGGGAATTAGCTTAAAATGGTAGAGCCTTCGCTTAGCATGCGAAAGTCACGGGGATCGATACTCCGATTCCCCATTTTTTGACATGAATATGTCTTATTACTGGTGGTAAGTTCAAAATCCGAGTTATTAAATGCTATCATAGCGTGACGAGCCTTTTTTGTATGGTAACTTCTAAGTTTAATATTTGATAATCGAACCAATTAAATCACCTAAATAAATAAATCTAAATAAAAATATTGTAGATGGCAATTAGTAAGTTTATTATAATCAAGCCAATTAAATCACCTTAATAAATAAATTAAATGAGGTAATATAGATGGTGACTAGTACTCTTAGTAATTAAATGAACTAATCAAATCAGCAAACTAAGTAGATTTAATGCTGTATTTTTTTAGTAAAAGATGGTTAGATTTAATAAGGTATTATAGATGGCAATTAGTATGTTTAGTATGTAATAATTGAACCAATTATTACATACTAACAAAATACATAAATAAAGTATTATAGATGGCCTTTAGTAAGTTTAGTATGTTATAAGTAAACCAATTAAATCAACTAAATAGATAGATTAAATTAAGTATTATTGATGGCTATCATTGGTTTTAGTATGAGATTGGACTAATCAAATTCAGCCAAATCAATAAAACCAAGTATTGTGTATAGCCATTGTTAATTTTAGTACGAGATTGGACCAATCAAATCACAGAAATAAACATTAACCTCCTACACAAAACCATTTAACCTATTGAACAAAACAAATAATATCAAACTGCTCAGCCAAAATATTATAATAATTCTAATTATAATCTTATATACCATTTTTATATCTTATATTATTTATATTTGTCTTTCTATGAGTGAAAGATAAGAAAACCACTCTGTCAGTCTGGTAAGTCCAACTTGGGGGTCAGTCTGGTCTCATTCCTCGCAGTAAGGGATGGAAGGCATATCTCTGAACAGGCTGGGTAGCCTTTGCTACCTGGTACACCAAACAGTGAGGAATATGTCAGTTTTGGGGTGGTGTGAGCCACCCCACCCACAGTCAGACCCACTTTGGTGGTGCTTAGATTTGTGCAGCCCCAGTGCAGTGGGGGCTGTACCCCAGGTTTCATCCTGAAGTTTTGCCTGCACTGGGTACTATAATGGGCACACAAAAACTTAAAAAAAACACACTGTGTTGATTCTCCATATTCATAAATTTTTTATAATAAGTTTGATTAATATTGGTCCATTTGTTTTAAGGAATTATAAAACAGATATCTATAATGATAAAAGCAAGTGTGTATGCATGTGTACAATGCCCATCCAAAAGTATGACATGCAGAGTTTTGAAAGTTTGGCTATAGGTGGATGATAAAGGGGGTTTGTGTGCACCTCAAAGCCCAATCTTTAATTTTTTAGTACTAGATGGGCCCAATCTTTAATTTCATAAAAAAAAGGTTATATGTAAGAAGTAAAATTTTACATACTTTTGATATAATCATTATATTGTTACAGCTGAGCAGTTTGATACTTAGTAGATTTGATTGGTTAAATAGTTTTGAAAAATGGTTGATTGGGTTTAATTGATTAATAAGCTTGATGGTTTTTAGTAAGCAGTTAGTGATTGGTTGATTCAAAAAGTTTATTGGTTTTGGTAAGTTAATATGATTTTTGGTCTTTGGTTAATTTAAAAGTTCAACAATTGGTTTTGGTTAGGTGGTTGGTAAATTTTGAGTTGTTTTGATAGGCTCAATGATTTCAGGTAAATGGTTGATTTTTAGTTAAATATGATATGTTTAATTGGTTTTGGCTAAGTGGTTGGTAATTAAAAAACTTTGAAAAAGGAGAAGGTTCTCAATTTGACTTGTACATATTTTTCTGTTTTTTTACACGCAAATCTTAAAGTACTAGACCAATTTCAGATGATCTTTTTCAAAAATAAAGGGTGCTTCAACTTAGATCCCATTTTACTTTTGTAAATATTGGTCCAGTAACTGACCATTAATTTAGTAAGCATATTAAAATGGACCAGAAGCAATATATTTTGATTGTAAGAATGTTCATTTCTGGATAAGCTTAATTCTGTCATTGGTATAGTGGGAGTTTCAAATCAACTTTTGCCATAATATATGTTCTATAGCTGTGAATATGTTTAAAATCCAGGTAAGTATGAGATCATAGCGCAACAAGCATAAATCATTATAGATGCCTATCATTTTCTGCATAATTTGATCAATAAAATTAACTAAATTTGATAAAATGAATTATTGTATATGGCAATCAGTAGATTTATTATAATTTGACCAATAAAATCAGCTATATTAATAAAAAAAATTGTAGATGGCAATCTGTAAATTAGTATAGATTTTCAATAAAAATCAACTAAATGTATTAAAATAAAGTACTAGTATATTATTCAAAAGATACTATATATAATATATATACTATGAGTTTTAATTTTATAGAAATAGTAAGGGTTCAAAAACAATATATAGAGATAGCAATGTTTAATAAAAGTAGGAAAAGTGTCACTTTTAAAAATGCACTAATTATTTTGGGGGAAAATAACTGGGGGTAAAGTTTTTTGGGAAAAAAGAACTCCTTAAAAAAATTTTGAGAAAAAAGAACCTCCTTTAAAAAAAGCTCTAAAAAGTATGAAATAATCAAAAATTATGCCTCTTTAATAAACCCCTTTTTAAAGTCAGTGCCATATTTTAACTGACTTATAATAGGTATTTATAAATTATATACTCAGTAAAATATATTCTAAGTTGCTTATAGTTTACACTTGGACCCAATCCAGACATAAGATATAATCTTGTATTTGTGAGCAAAATTTTTAATTCAATTTAGAATATGGTGCCAACTTCAAAAAGGGTTTTGTTGAGGAGGCATAATTTTTGATTATTTCTATGTTTGTTTGCGCATAACTATGAAAATACTGGACTAATTTGGATGATCATCTTCTTCAAAAATAGAGGATGCTCCAACTTAGTGTAAGTCCTGGGGAACGTCCCCTGGCTGTTGATTGGGCCCTCTTCTAGTTTCTGAGTAAAAAGACACTGAAGAGGATGGTGGTACCCCTTGTTACTCAGGGCGATCTCGCTTATGTAGTAGATGAGAGATGGGCAACAGCTCTTCCTCTTTGGATCCAACCCCCAGTACCCACACTCATCTTGGCAGAACTGTTATGGGGAATTAGCAAAATCTGCGCTGAGATTATCAAATTTTAATTGGTCAGATCTAATTTGAGTGGCAATCTGGCTGATGGCCAAATCTCAAATGGATGGAAAGGTATGAAGACTGAGGTATCAGCTGGAACGCCTGACAGTTCCAATTTGACCAATATGCTGATCAAACAAAGCACCCTCCTACTAAAGTCATTGAGGATCATCCTTGATGATCAGGCTATAGCATTGGGTGCCACTGATGAGGGTTCAAAGCCCCCGGTTGGCAATTTGGGCGTTGTGGCAAATGTGATGCCACTGACTGAACGAACAGTCCAGTGACCAAGCACAGGCGGGTTGGGCGTCCCAAACCTGTTCCCGCCAAATGGACCCTCCCCTATGTGGGGTGGCCTTGGGGGATTCCAATCACTTGTTGGGCCAAATGCCATCACGCCAACCATCAGAAACATAGCTGAGCCTCAGTTCAGATGTTTGAGGTCAAAAGGACAGTGACTCAGCTCAATGCTGAATTTTGCAATGTCAGTTCTCAAGGAACAAACCTACCCATTCCCAAACAATTCGCCGGTTAGGTCAAAATTGTGGGACCCAATCACGGCTTGTCACTACCCCAATATCCACTATATAATCAGTTGCATAGCACTGAGAAAATTGTTGGTCATTTTTCTTCCTTTTCCTTCAATAAAAGTTTACCAAAAAACTAGAAAAAAATTATTTTTCTTCTGACTGCATCCTTGATGGCGTTTCCCTGGTGGCCTGTCAGTCCATATATTGGATGGGCTCTACCAGTACTCTTGGTCACTATGGCCCCCTCCGTCATCAATTGGGTTCAGCAAGTCTGATATTTTTGGCTCTACAACCCCATTATCACTAACTTCTGGCAGCAATACACAAAGATCTTGTGGCCGTATGTCCATCAAATTGCAAGAGAGAATCCATCTCCTTGCCACCCCAATTGAAATGGGCCCATACGCTGAGGATCTCATCAAGACTATCTCAGTGATCTCACCCCCTGCAGCAAGACCCCCTGGGTCAGGAGTGGGTTCAGTGTGGTTTTTCATCAGGATCATCTTTACCATTGTGCTGCACCAACAATATATCATTTCCCAATGCCCGGCACCATATCAAGTCATTCAGTCAGTAATGCCTTTGACATTCTGGCTTGCTTTTTGGGTGCTTACGCATCCTGACTGGCAGGCCAGTCTAAACTTCTTCTGCCATTTCCATGACATAATTGACCAACCATTATGTCCAGCCACTTCCACCTTGTTCTTTGACCTGGGTGCCGCAGTGGTTACATTTTAATAAATGAATGTTCAATCAGTAGTTTTCTGTTTGTTGTTTGATTGGTCACTTTCCAACTTTGGGAGAAGTATCCACTCTACCTTGGGAAATCTTCTTCAATCCACCCAAGCTGCACAGACTGTGTCTCCTCCTCCTTCCACTAGCCTGGAGGGAAGTTCAAGTGTCCCCTCCTAGTAGATTGCCAATCAAGTTCTCGATGCATTTGCTGAAGTGCAAATGCATACAGAAATTGCGCTTAATAACGCTTCCACGTTATCTCATGCCCAACAAGGGCTCGCGTTGTTAGACGCTGTGGATGAGGATGCCTGCTTTTGGGTGAGAGGTCTTTTGCGCTCTTCCTCACAAGCAGGAAACTCCACCCCACTGATGGCTGTCATGTTGTCCGCCCTGAAACCCCCTGTGTCCCAATCAGACCACTTATTCATACTGATCTATGCCATGGCTGAAGCCTCTAGCTTGGTTTCTTTAATTTCTACCTTTTATGAACTGGCCCCCATGTCAGGCCTATTTATCAATATGCTTCAGGCAGTCTTTAGATTGGTCTTGGATTTGGGTTCCGCTCATTATGAGGTCTGGTCTACCATCCAAGGATCAGTAGATC